TTTTTTTTTCCTGGAAACTCCATTAATGACTCAGTAATCTCAGTAGCTTTCTTTTCAATCGATCAAAAAGTGTTTTATTGGAAGAAAGACCTTTTTTCCAGTAGAGCCAACAACAAACACTTCCTATCCCCGAATAAGCACTTCTGGCAAAGAAAACATAAAAACGAATGTTTCCGTAAAATTTATTCAAGAAAGCCACAGTGCCGGAAGACAAAAATAAAAGACAAAATAAATAGAAAGAAACCCCGGAAAAAATACTTAGAATTTGAGTTCTTTGTACGAACGAACTACCTCAAGTAATAGAAAGTTGATAATTTAATACTTTATAAAACGTACACCGACATTTAAAAAAAGTGTCAAAACACCTTGCTCTTGAGTGTAAAATACGCCTCGCTTATTTTCTTTCTTTTCCGCATTGATTTTCCACGCATCAAGGAAAATAATCTAAAGCGTCCGAACAGGCATTGCACATTTTTCATTTCCTTTCCATTATTTCACTTTCAAGTGGAGGAGATTTCAAATAACGACGACGAAACAAGTAAAAGCGACTGAAACACGATTCTGATCCAGAAAGAGTTTTCGTGGAAAATGTATTTTTAAGTGATAAAATTGCTTACATTCAGAGGGTGAAATAATTTTTCTTTATCAGGTTTTATTTACGGTTAAAACTAACGATTAAAACCACGTTTCGACCTCTAAAGTGCGACTTTTAGAAGGTTAATACGACAGAAATTAACATCAACTATAGTAAAATTTAAAACACGGAAATATTAAAAGCAATAATAAGAAATTATAGTAGAAATTAGTTTCATCGCCACATTTTCGCATCAAAAATGAATTACAATGTGTTAAAGTCAGTATATAACCAAAATTACCAAAACGTCTTGCTGGGGCTGGAATTTCCAAAATCTATAACTCTAGGAAGTTTGTAGTTTTGAATGAAACAACAATATTCTTATGAGGCCAAATTCTGAAACGACGAGAATTAAAATTACTTTAAAATACTATATATGATTTCCTGCATATGTAATACAATTTGTGTTCGATAAACGTGCGGCCGTTCACAGTTTTACCTACCCCTGCCTGTCGAGAAGGAAGAATTCCTCTTTTGATCAAATATAAGGAAGAGCTTTCTGCAAAGACGACATCAAGTTGTTTTGTCAAAGAGAGCCCTGCAGTTCCTCTTACTAACAAACCAAGTCTGTGAAATGCGGCTGTAGCCATTTGGACAAGTCAATTTGAAACTTTTGAGTTTGCAACACTCGGTGTACTTCTGCGCGCGCTGTCTGGGATATATTTAAAATAGAAGGCTAACGCAATTTATAATTGTCATTGCAGCAGCACTCTTGACGTCACACATTTTTCGTTCACTTCCTTCTTGGGATGCTTTGAATAATTTAGACAATTTGCTGAGTCATTTTAGACCCTGTTTAAATATAGCAAGGGACAAATTCCTAGAAAAATCACATTTTTTTTCACAAAGCTCATGATGTGCGTTAATGTCATTTCAAACAAAATAATGATACAAACACTTTTTTCGTTTTTATTCGTTATATTCTTTACGTCTATTAAGGAGAAAAAAGAAATCATTAAATTAGTGATATTTTACCTTGCCGAACAGTAAGTGAGGGTTGCTTTAAAGCACTGAAACAGATGTGTTTTGGGAATTCAGACTTTGATATTTGCGTCTGATCACGTACAAATTGTGGGCGGTCTAGGCAAATTTTTGTCACGCAATATTTCATTAACCTTACACTTAAATACATTTTGATAAAATAAAAAACTCCTGAAATTCAAAGACATCTTTTAATCAATTCAAGCTAAGTTAAACTATCCTATACCATACAGGAAAAACGTCAACACAAAACTATATTAGCTTCAGAAATACAAGTGATTAGCCATCAAGGTTTATATTTGCGTGACATTTTCTGTCACGACGAGGCGTCCTCCTCCTCCATTTCTCCCAAAAACCTTAAAATTAACACAGTTCAATAAATTTAAGAATTGAACTTACATGCTGTTACAAATAACATATTGTTTAGGACTATAGTATAGTCGTCGCGATATTGACAGTTGACTAAAAATAATCAAAAGGACAGTCTCTTATTGCTTCCGGTTGCTCTCTTTTGGATGGGGCCTGGATCCAAGAAGACCTGAGCGCCATATTTGTTCTTAGCCGGCTCCGCAGAGCTTGAGTTTTGTCACTAATTTTTCTGATTTTACAGCGCTTTGATTAGCGTAAATGAATGCGATGTGGACAAAACGGCTTCTGGAGTTTAAATGTGAGTGTATTAGTTCATCCATTTTGTAATATTGTTTGTCGGTGCTTCAGATTTTGCGCGTAAACAAACACAGCCGTAAAAAGTGTCTCAGTTGGTACAATACTCACGTGCAAATGCAGTTGAATCTCCATGAAGCCCACTTTGATGGAGTTGGCAGCTTGATAGAAGTTTCATTTACAGTTCTTTTACTCCATTATTTTGGAACTTTGATCACTGGC